ACCAAAAAAAAAATCTTTCTACAAACACAGACCCCTACTAGTTAAAATGATAATGCCTCTAAAAACGCTGGTCTTTCTTATATCTAAATAGTAAATGACTAAATAAAATTAAAATGTACTAACAATAAATTACGAAAGATCAGGCGGGATCGTGATTGGACAATTTTATTTTGCTAAGTTTGACTTGTATAGGTAAATGAAACATATGGAGATAACGAACAGTATTTAAGATCAAAAGTGCTAAACAATACATTGTAGGAGCAGACCATACACGGACCCCCAAAACATCAGAGATGGGATCAGGACATCATCAGGTGCCATGGAGGAGTGAGCATCCACTGCTGACCGGTCACACCCGTCGTGTGATGCTTGTCGTGATCGGAAAATAACGGAAAATTCCGAAGTCTTCTCAGTAGATGAACAATGGACCAACAATCAGCATGAAAGACGTCAGTCAGTATTTGACTCAATGATAAATTGTATTTTTTGACAAGGTCATTGTATCGACCATAGAACTTAGGAAATTATGATTTTAAACGGGACAACTGAAATTCTTGTTTCATCAACTTGTTTGTCATTAATTTACCTTGTTTGAGAAAATATTCATACGTAGAACATGTTCTTGTGTATCGAATCAATTGAGATATATAAACTCCATATGCAGGTGATGAAGGTATGATGTTTCGGAGGTCTGTGTTTGCTCTGATCCTATTTTGTATTGTTTCATGGACTTTGGTATTGAATACCGATCGTTATCTCCATATCCTCCTTCTGTAAGTAAGGGAAGTTGACGATAGAAAAGTTAAAGTCATCACATTTATCATAGAGCTTGATTGTAAGATTACCATTAGCATCTTTTTCAAGTAAAGTATCCAAATATGAAACAGATGTGTCAGACTCTGTGATATCTATTATCTCGAGCTCACTTCAAGTATCTTTTTGATGTTAATTTAAGAGTACTTAATGATGAAAATCAAATGTAACATTAGGTGTATAGAAATAATTCTGAACATAGTACTTACAGTTTTATTCAATCAAAAATATTTAGTAAAATCAGTGACGTGAAAAGTACTGCTCTACAAACCTTCATACAACTATTACTCAGGATAAGTAGAAGTCTATCCTTTTGGAATATTTGCTTTTTTAAAAATTAAAAATGAAACTCGTAAATTATATTAACTTATCTTGTCATTGTTCATCAGCAAAAAAATGTTAAAAAAACATTCTGAATGTACACACAAGTATTTTGAAATTGATATAAAAAAAATCGATTCTCTGATAATATTTATGTAGTTTGAGAAACAAGGTCTTCAAATATCGGAGTTATATGAATACATATTGCGCCCTGTTAGAAACAGACCTATTTTGCATTCAGCAGAGCTTATTCAAAAACTTCTAGAGGGAAAAAGGAAACACTTGCCGGAGACTTGAATTCGACATTAAGATATATCAAGGACATATTCTCAATTAACGATAGTTACTTTCATTCAAATGTAGACTCAATATATCCAATTATTCTTGAAATAAAAGCTACCACAAAGTCTCACAAATCTATTTGATTCTTGGATATTGAATTTGAAAATGACGCTAATGACAATCTAATGACAAATCTTTATCATACACGTAATTATTTCAACTTTTCAATCCTCAACTACCCTTACTGAATATGTAGGAATATAATCTTATCGCCTGCAAATGGGGTTTATATCACTCAGTTGATACGCAAGAACAAGCGCTACATACAAACACTTTCTAAAACAGGGCAAGCTATTGAAAAGTTTATGAAACAATAGTATCAACAGTCGCGTTTAAAGTCATCATTTTGCCACTTCTAAGGTCAATACAATGACGTAGTCAGCAATAACAACCTATCATTGAGTCAAATGCTGACATAATTTTGTCACGAATATTGTTAGGCAATTGTTTTACATTGAATTGTCTACTTTTTTCTCTCCATTATTTTTACGATCATGACAAGCAGCACATGGCGGATGTGACCGGTCTTAGCAGGGGATCTTACTCCTCTATGCCACCTGGTCCAATCTTTGACACTTTAGAGGTCTTTCTTTGCTCCCAATTTGCAGCATTAAATGGACTTTGAGCTGCTTACTGTTCAATATCTCCATGTTCTACATTTAATTATGAACAAAAACATCTTGCATGGAAAAACACGTAATAAACAGTGTACAGTTGATAGTGAAATAAAGAAAATAGAAATAGCAGAAAACAATACAATATAAAAACCAAAATATAAAAAAAAAAATTAACGGAGAGGAGGAATAAACACCAAATTTGTACATAGTATGGTCCTTTAAAGTATTTCCTTTCCATCTGATTTCCGTAAAATTAAAACTTGGAAAAAAGTCAGGATTGAAGGAGGAAGGAGAAAGGACGGAAGAAAAGATGGATGAAAAATGAAGATAATATAAAGATGCTCTGTCAAACGCAGAAGTAGAAAATTGAACTTCTACATTTATAGTATCTCTGGTGCTTTAGAAGTCTGTATTTGCTCTGCTCCTGATTTGTTTTGTTAAATGAATTTTGAAATTGAATATTGTTTGTTATCTCAATAAATTTCATGTACATTTTATTTTTTATAACTTACACATTGAAAATCTATAGTTGTATCGTATTTTCACTTTCATTTTCAGGCTGTTGTTTTTATGATGATATTTATTACTGATTACTTTGTTTTCCTGTAGGACTCAAACTTGACACTGCAATGGAGGGTTAAACCACTGGCCAATGCTAGTAGGAAGCCGTGAATCACACACTTCCACATTGTCTCCCTCGAGGGATGGAAATACCCTTATCTCTTCTAGAGTAACGACGCCTGTGGGGCGAAGATCTGGGGGCAATCTCTTTTAGAGAACATCCGGGTCTCAACGTATGCGCCAAATGTGAACAAAATATTTTTGTGCCTCTGCTTGGGAATGAACCCTAACCCCTGGTTCCCAGTCAGGTGCTATATCGATTGAGATAAAGGGTAACCACTAGCCCAAGCAAGCAGGCAGCCGTAAAATCATACATTAACACATATATATAGAAAACGAAATGCTGACAATGTTTGCTTTTATAATTCAGTAATGGAAAAGATTATCAATATAGACATACTAAATACTATCAAATAAATATGGTAGATTTAAAAAGATGAATACATAAACAATATTTATACATTTAAAATAAAAATGTAAAACAATCAATGTATCTTCACTAGTGTTAGCAAAACACTCTCAGGTATCAATATTTATGACATTTTCAACAGTGAAATACTGTAATTTATCCATTAAATAAAAGTGATATACTGTCACAGTGTGAAAAGATATCAAAATGATACCCTGTCACGGTGTGAAAAATATCAGAAGTGCGGTAAATCTCTCGAATTACCTTCCCATATCGAAGAGTTTTGTAAAAATATTCCTTGTACTGTTATAATATAGAGAGAGAGAGTAAATAAACCATTCTGACAGAGAATAAGACTGTCAAAGTTTCCCCAAATATGTTGCTGAAATCCATGTTTACAATGTTTTCGATCTTGTATCACTAAGCTATGATGTATCAACCGCTCAACTATGACGTCATGTAGCCTATGACTGTATTACAAAAAGAAAAATAGGCAAAGGGAAAACCAAAGAAAATGTAATAAACAGAAAATTCAATGTTTTGTAGTTGAATATGGAATATGGAATTTATTTCACTCCTGAGACAGAATTTTTGATATTTTCACTCGTGCTTCGCACTAGTGAAAATATAAAAAAAATCCTGTCCCACCCGTGAAAAAATTCCATATTCAACTACAAAACATTGAACATCCTCTACAAATTCAACAAATACTCATGATACTTAGGCATAACCAATATCAAAATACAATGCTTCAGAATCTCCCTTTCACAGAAAAAGACAATTTATTGAATTGAACAAATTTTATTGACAAAGGCAAAAGGATCGGACACAAGCTCAGTAACTTAGATAGTCCTCTCCTAATATAACATTTTGTGAAATTGCCAAAATAAAAAAAAACATATATACATATGGTCTATTACATACATTGTATACATCGTAGCAATAAAAGAAAAAAAAATCTTTAAATGCACAGGTATAATTTGAGACGATAAGAGAAAAAAGTAAACTTATTTTGAAAAACTTTGTTGTGTGTCATTTGCTAGAATCTGTGATAATTTTCGTTTGGTTTGGCCTCCAGAACATGATCAATACAAAAATATCACACTCCTAATGAAAATGTTTTAAAACAGTTACATTATAACTGACGCATGATTGCAATTGAGTTATTTCAAGTGAAGTCAGGAAAATGCCAGTTACATTGTATATATACTGTAAGTACTGAAAAGCACATAGTTTGATGATATAACAATTTTACTTGTATAACCCTTTGAAAAGGTTCAACTCAATTTAATCAGGTTATTGTTGGATATTTTTGTATATATTTTTATTCGAGAATATTGTAAAAGCTTTTTAACGACATATTCTGATAAATAAAACGTTATAATCTAAAATACAAATCGTGAGTACAATCGAACAATAAACCAAATTGAGTTATTATTAATTTACCTATTGAAATCAATTAAGATCTAAAGCTTTAATAATGACCTATTGACATTCCTTCCTCTTATTCTTTATTGTTTTCAATTACTTCCAAGAAAATTTCCAGCTGTTTATTTTAAACTGCAATAAAAATTTATATATATATCACATGACAGAGCACAACACGTGTTCAGAATTAGATAAGTGCTGAACACTTGAACTTTTCCGTTTCAACACTTCAACACGGCAAATTATTAAATGATGCCTTAGATTTTCCTTGTCACTGTATGAGTATGGGTATGAGTTTTTTGGTTTTAATTCTTTTTATTTTGAACAAAGTGATTGCCAATGACATTGGGAACTGCACAGAAAAGTATGTATAATTCTGTGATATCGTGAAAAACAAATGTTCATTAAACATAAATTTGAAAAAGGTGATATTTTATTTGTAGGGGCAAAGTGAAATGCTGTTTACATTTTTTTCTGCAGGAGGAAAAATGTGTCGGTGAGGCTTATTTATCTTTTAACGTTCCTTTTTCAATAAAATTGAAATGCAATTTTCTTCTTATTAAAAAGTTAATTTTCCTGTAATTTCTTAGATTAAGTTTATATTTAAAATGCATTTTGCTTTTGAAAACATTATGCAAAATCAATTTTGATTGACTGATGGCATTAAAAAATGTTAAATCAAACAATATTGCATAAAACTTGTTTTGATTTTCTGACTGATTTGCCTCCTATGTTTTCTGACACGAGATAAATCAAAATATTTTGCTTCGAAAAAAATTTTTAAAATATATTTTAGAAAAATATTCAAAAATTGTTCTGTTATGAGTTAAATACTAAAAAAAATAGTATTCGCACTTTAAACATGGAGAAAAAGAAATGTTTGATTATACATACACATGTTATTGCATATATATGGCACTCATTTCAAGAATATGATACATATGTAGACGCATTTCAATCAGTGCTTTCAATAGCAAGTAAACCAAAACGCATGAGGAAGTGACGAAGAAATGGTTATTTGCAAAATATGATTATTAGATAAGGTTGGATAAGGTTTTCGATGTGAATATTTTCCAATATTTTCATGTATGGTTTCATGACTTACACGTTTCAAGAGGAATGGGAAAATTTTGTTGTGTATTGATGGAAAATTGTTAAACATAATTCAAAAAAAATGTGTTTGTGAAATACTGATGCTCCCATCTGGCAACGTACCAAATGTCAAACTTTCTCAAATGCAAATCAAATCTGTTGACACCAAAACTAAGGCCTTCTCGCAATTAATATAATTGTGAATTATGAAACCCCTAGCACCTTCAGTTAAAAAATTATGGCCAAGGTTAAAGTTTCTGAAGGTAGGTCAAACTCCAGGGTCGAGGTCAAAGGGAGGTTGGTTTATAAAGAAGGGCATGTCACAAGGATTACATATGCGAAGTATGAAAGTCCTAGCCTTGACCGTTCAAAACCTTTGGCCAAGGTTAAAGTTTTCAAAAGTAGATCAATCTCTGAGGCCAAGGTCAAAAGGTCAAAGTTTTTGGTATCCAGTGAAAAGTTTACAGTCTTGTCACAAAGTTTACATATGTGACATATAAAATTCTTAGCAATAGTAGCCGTTTAAACGTAATGCCCAAAGTTAAAGTTCTGTATTTTTGTGTAAAAGTGTGTCAAACTGTGTCAAAAGGTCAAATTTGGTGGGACAAAATGAAAGAACTTATCAAGGAATAAACCTGTGAAATATGGAAGCCATAGCCCCACCCAGTCAAAAGTTATGGACAAGGTTAAAATTTTTGCGGACAAATAGACAGATAGACAGACAGTCGAACGGACAGGGCAAAACCTATACACCCGAATCTTCGAAATAAAAATAAAGAGGTGCAAAATTAGAAAAGAAAACCACCAAACAGCGTGCAATAACTTTATGTTCAATGGTTGGATCCGAGAAAACAAACTGAACAAATCGGTAAAATGCAAATAAGATAAACAAAAGACCTTGAGGCCATCTTAACAAACAGTGAAGTTGACAAAAATTAATAAATGTATATAAATACATTTCAAGCAACATAAATCTGTGAACAGGGCATAAGAATAGACCACTGGATAAATCCAGAGCTATGAGATCAGGTGTCTTAGAAAGGAAATTTGAAGATGGAAAAGATGAAATCATCTTGCTTGTCAAACTACTAAAGAATTTAATTGTTAATTGGCCTTTATCATTTATATTAAGTAAAGTTATGTATCATAAGATTAAGTATTTTTTAAAAAACAGAATGTCCACTGGGCACATACGGCATAAACTGCACTTCAAGCTGTCCAAGTAATCATTTTGGGAGTAAATGTCTTCAAACGTGTAATTGTTCTAAAGATCAGATTTGTGATGACAAGTATGGTTGCAGGACTCCAGAATTTTACAAAGAACTGTACGGTAATATGGAATTAAGATATTGTTCAACTTCATCGTTTTAGAAATATCTGTCTTTTACTTTGCTTAATACTGAACTTATTAATTTTAGTTAAATCTGAACATTCTTTTGTATTCTGAGCTATTTGCAAAGTCAGCCCTCTTTATATCAGCTGTAACGACGCATATTTTTATACTACATTCAAAAGCGCTAAGTTCCAATAGGGGAACACAAGGACTCAACATACACTTGGTTTTCTTTGCTGAAAAATATGTTTGCCATCATTCACTGAAAAATTTATAGTCTGATCAAAATTGCATTTCCATTAAGAAAATAACCAATCTCAAGTTTTTAAGGTTATCCTTATTATCACAGACCACTTTATCACAAATAATAAGCTGACAATGCCCAAAAACTCCTATTTTTTGTACCCTACAGCAAAATTAGAATCTTAAGGTGATCTTGTCAAATGCATACACATAGCGTATTCCAATTGGGCCAGGTAAAATTAATCTTTAGATTCTCATCCTAATTTGCTAAAAAATTGGGGCGGGTTGGCGGATTTTATTTTTTATAATTGTTAAATTGTAAGTATCAACAAAACATGGACTCTTCGTACACTTTTTTTTCATTATGTTAATGCCAATATGAATAGATTTTATTCTTTTCATATTCTTTTAAATATTTGAAGAAGATTCTTGCTTTAAAAAATTAAATATTTACAGTTAATTAACAGATTATCAAGTACACATAAATACGGCACATGCCAAACAAAATGAGGTGGGGATACCAATAAATTGTGCATGCATGACTTCTCATCGGCCTTTCCCCAAATATACCTTTTAGTTTTACCAACAAATCTCCCTGTTTTCTGTAAAATATCATAGATTTTCACCTTCCTCAAAAATAAGATCGTTCTTGAGACTTGACATTTTCGACATTAAAATAGGTCATGTATGCAAAATCTATAAAATATTCTAGGCCTAATAAAATATTCTACTGAAAAACCTAGGCCTGAACAGTTTTAAGTTTAATTATTTCCTTAGCACTTAACATTCTCTTAAGTCTGCCAACAATGTTTTATTTTTTTTTTTTCAAAGCAAAATCACACACAGTATGAGATCATTTAAACTTGACCAGGTGTCATTTTCCTCGTCTATTTTTACTTACTAGGCCTAGTTAAAATCTCTCTAAAACTTGCTCATGCCAGTGATGGTATCTAGATGTGTGTATGCTATTTTTTCTTCTCTGCCTTCACTATACTGACAAATTATCTTTTCCTTACATGTTTAAACTGCTTTTATTGCCGTTTTTTCTCCATTCTTCACATGGCTCTTTTACTATAAATAGCAACACGCGACTTTTAATACAGACGGGAGATAACTCTTAAACTTTGACCTGAATTCTTGCTGAATAAAAATACATGAAAATACTTTTGTTAACACCCAAAAATCAAAATAAAAAACACCGGGGCGGGACACTTTGAGAGGGGCGGGCGGGGATGAGAATCTAAAGATTAATTTTATCTGGCCTTGACTACAAAAAAGGAAACAGCACATGTAACTAAATAAATTTTTTTTAAAGAAAAAAAAACCGCCTTGAATTACATAAACTAAATTCCACGTACACCGCATGATATTATGGTTCGAATTTATCGGCGAATGATAAAAAGTTTGAAAAAGTTTGAAATTCATATTATACGACCTGCATTATTTTCAAATTTTCAGATGATTGCACCAGTGGAATAAGGTAAGATATTGTTTCTTGTTTGTTTGAAATTTTATAAGTTGCATTATAATACAAGACCCAATCAACAAAACAAAACAGTTCCAAAATTTTAGTCAGCTGCTTTGTTCCGTCTTCGGAAAGCAAACCTAAAAGTCTACAATAACCCCAAGGTCAGCTTTCTTTTGAGTGAAGGGATCGAGCCTTAATTGGAAAGAAAGCACAAACCTATTATTATTTTGATTATGTATCTCTTGCAGTTTTTTTTTTCAGAAACATTGAGCCAAACCCAAATATTTTTCGTCGCAATTTCTCGGGAAAGCAAACAGATATTCATTTTCAAATACTAGTAAAAATAGTGTCACCAAGTATAATTTTTTGGGGACAGCATTAAAAGGGTAACCTTTAAGGGCTACATTGAATTATATATATATATATATATATATATATATATATATATATATATATATATATATATATATATATATATATATATATATATATATATATATTCTCAATTTTTTCCCTTTTGTTGGAGAGGGTCTAAAATCGATGATCATAACTGACATGCAACGTACAAATGAACATTGTCTATAAAAATCGTACCCAGATTCGAAAGGTCATATTGGTCTAATTAACTTTGAAGCATCTCCATGTTGCGTAAATTCAGTTCCACTACTAGTCGCCCGCGTGGCGCAGTGGAAACAGCGTCTGCTTTATAAGTGTCGTGGAGTAAGGAGTTTATCCTTACGTCGCGGGTTCGAATTATAATGTCAGACGTGGAGACCGGACCTTCGGATGAGAGCGTTTAAACTGAGGATCCGCATCGCAGTATGTGTTGGCACAAAAAAGATCCTTCACTGCTCAATGGCCATAAGTGTGCAGAGTATAGGACAAAACTTGTAGCTCTCAACTGGCAGGTGGTGGTGTCTACATATGAGTGACTATTTTTCGAGAAGGACAAACAAACGAAAACCAAATTCCACTTTATTCGCTGAGATGAAAAGGTCCCATTGAAATAAAAAAAAAACATTGATAATTTTTCGAAGAACAATAAGACATAGGAGTTTCATCCGAGCTTTGTAACCTACTGGGCAGTTGCTGTGACTTTTGTGGTATCACGTTATATGGGAATTGTGCTTTATATTTTCATTAATCAAAAACCTTAAGAATAACCCCACAAAAATATTCATACTTACTCATCAATGGCACCTGACCCCACATCTGTTTTTTTTAGGTCCGTGTTCGCTCTGCTCGAATGTTGTATTGTTTAATGGACTTCGGGGTTTGCATACTGTTCGTTATCTATTTCTTTAATGAAAATACTTCTAGTATTTTAATTTCATAGCAACACAACAACAAAATGCTGTACGAACCAGAGGATACATGGAGATAATTGTCAAGGTGATGTGTGAAGTTTCAATGAATACATTAACAAAAAGAAGAAAAAATTCTCCTTAACTAAACATGTTAATTAATCCTTGTCCATTTTCAAGTTTGTACTGGAGTAATTTTTACAAACCAATTCAAACTACTAGTATAACATTTGTTTAAATGTCGAAATTTTCAGATTGTTGGAATGGAACGTATGGGGTTGATTGTCGATATAAATGTCCACAAAACCGTTATGGACGATTCTGTTTAAACAGATGTAACTGTGCAGCAAATGAGTCGTGTCATTATGCTTATGGTTGCAACATTCAAACAAGTAAGAAGTTAAGTACTCTTCTTAGTTTTCTTTTCAGCAAAAATAGTATCAGAATTCCTAAAATTTAAACTATTAAACTTTTAGAACATCATCATCACTTTGATTTACCTAGCAACATACATAAAAAACTATAACTGAAAATCAGAAAAGAACTTCAGCCAGTGAAAGTATGATTTGCAATATTAATTGTGATAGAAATTATTACTATAATCCAGTATCTTATTATATACTGATAAAAAATAGAATGTTTATCGGGCAAATTTGGTATAAACTGCACCTGTTTATTGCAGGATGTTCACGTAATCGTTTTGGAGATGGATGTCGGGGAGTTTGTTCTTGTTCTAAAGATCAGATTTGCGACTACAAAAATGGTTGCAGACTCAGGCCTCCAGAATATTTCAAAGAACTTTATGGTAAAATGGAATAATCATATTTTCTAAAAATAGCCTTGTAACTACTTGTATTTCTTTTTAATTCTCATGAAGCTTTTAAGAAGTGTGGGGTATACATTTCATATAAAATATTAGGAGATAACGAACAGTATTCCAGCTCAAAAGTTCAAAAACCATTACAAAATAGGCGCGGAGCAACACGGACCTCCGAAATATCAGAGGTGGGATCAGGTCAATGGAGGAGTATTCCCATCCAACCGGTAGGGTCAAATTGCCAAACTTAACCTTCCTTGCAAAGACGGATTCATCATAAGACGTAATGCAGAGATATAAATTATATTTAGTACTCCACTGCAGACCTATGATCTTGTCTTGAGATAGTTATGTTAATGCATACAGAAAGCTTTTTGAATTATTGCGTAATAATTGCCTTAAGAAAAATAGCAATCTCGAAATTTTAAAACAAAATTTCATGTACATCCCATTAGATTTTTTTTTAATGTATCAGTAAATGATAAAAAGAATATAATTCGTATTCTAAAACATGCATGATTAATACTTGTGCATTCTCTACTGATTTTTGGATTTTCAGATGATTGCTCTAATGGAATGAGGTAAGAGATAACAATTCTTCTTTTTGCATTCTTCTTGTGTCCCAAAATGTTTGCCACCTGCTCTGACATTGCCTTGAATCAATAAAAAAGTCCCAAGAGTCCCAAGAGTCCCAATTTCAGCTTTCTGGGACTGCTCTATTCATCCGGGAATACTTTATATGCGTATACAAGAAATAATTAGAATAGCATTTTATAATTGTCATTCTTAGTACTGGCCCGGGAAAGCAACGGGTTTTCATTTTCATATGTACACATAGTTACTGCGTTATACTGTCAATATTTTATAATGTTTTGGAAAGGGGATATTGAGGGTTAGACTAAACCACAGTGACAAATAAATACGAAGTTTCTCCCCACAATTTTAATATGGATTCTGTGGATTGGGTGAGACTAAAATCGGCAATCAAAGTTTACATTTTGCACGAATGTTTGAAAAACATCATCAGATATGAAGAACCATGTTAATCATATTAAATCTCAAGCACCTACATGTTGTATAAATTCACGTTTCGGGAATTTGTTCTTATAAGAATAAGCAAAGAAAAGATATTGATAAATCTTGCAAAGAACAATAGGACCAAGGAGTTTCCGCTAAGCTTTGTGGCCCAATGGTATCTTGCTGTGACCCATGGTATCATGTTGTATCTTGTCAAGTTGTGTCTTGACTTTGTATGTTCATAACTGAGATTCAATAATAATGAGAAAGTCCTATCTGAAAACATTTAACACAATTGTGATAATTTTATAGCAACAAAACAACAAAATGCTGCACAAACCAGAGAGTATTAGGAGAGGATTGTCAAGGTAATGTGTAATTTTGTAGAATATGCTATAAATGAAAAATTCTCAAAGTATTTTTCAGGTATTGAAATTAATAATAATTAATTCTTGTTCATTTTCAAGTTTGTATCGAAGTACTTTTAATAAACCAAATTAAACTATGAGATGAGTTTAAATGTTTTAAAATTTTCAGATTGTTGGAATGGAACATATGGGAATGATTGTAAACATAAATGTCCTCAAAACCGTTATGGAAGATTCTGTTTAAACAGATGTAACTGTGCAGCAAATGAGTCGTGTCATTATGCTACTGGTTGTAACATTACTACTGGTAACATGAGTAAGAAGTTTAATTTTATTCTTTATAGCAAAACTAGAATAGGAGTTCCAAAAATTAGCATATTGAACTCTTGGAACATCCTCATCACTTTGAGCATTCACTCCGAGCAAACATACAATGTACAGTAAGAAAAACTATAGCTAAAAATTAGAAAATTTACTTCACCTATTGAAAGCATCATGATTCCAATTTACTTATTAAATTAAATGATGATCTTTTCATTAGAAATATACCACACTTTCCAATTAGTCATTGATTCAATTTGCAAGAGCATTTGCTTTGTATTTTTTTCAACGGTGCAAGTTATTGATAAACGTGTCGATGACTTAAGGTAGTACAATACATCCGTTGATTCTTTTTTAACTCATTTCGTAAAAATTACAGCAGAAAAAATAATAATATTACTATATTGAGAATAATGAATGATCATTGAAAGACATGAAATAAGTTGTTGCAATTTTTTATCATATTTTGTGGAAAAAATCAGAGAATACTATATATTGGTCAATTTGGAGCCTACATTTAAGAATGTATTTGCGCTATTTAAATGCAATGAACAAACATGTAACAGCCTCCTATAAAATGGAGTGTATCTGTTCTATAAATAGTAGAGGGTTGATATCTGGAATGCATGTATAAAGATCTCCATTCTTTATGTACTATAAAGGTCAAGGCCATATCAAGAGGTCAAAGGTCAAATATTGTTACGTTCTACGAGGGTTGTCCCGTAAAATCGTGGACAAAGCGTTTTTCTCGAAAAGTAATGGGCGCACTAAGCTGAAATTTTCAGTAAATGTTTATTCATCATATTTAAGTGTATCATAATGTTTTTGATAATATATATACAAAAATAAAGATTTTATTCTGCTTGAAGGTGCACAGGGTATGGTCCTACGGCGCACGGTAGAAATAACAAGGTTGTATTAGAGAATATACAAGTATTAATTCGTAATAAAAGTTTTCAATACATAAGATAAGGATGAAAATTATTCTAATTCGATTCCTTAATCAATTCTATCGTCTTTTTGAAAATTTCAAGGCATTTGGTTAATTTTTGACTGTTTCCCGAGCATTCGAAATGGAAAAGTTGTATACACAAAACACGAAAATGGCGACGTTTCGTGACGTTACGGCGCACCGGAGAGCAGTTCAGTTAGATTAGGATGTTTAATGACACTTTAAAAGACTTTAAATGAATACGGAAGAACGAAAATATGATATATCACCAGATTTTTATTATACAAGTAAAATGGACGTTTTCTTAGCGAAGTTCTCTTGATTGAGTTCCCAGATAGTACAAAACATGCGGACAGACTGCAATTGTAATAGTAAAAGACGCTGTCACTGTCGACCGTCGATATGAGATTCTCTGTTAGTTGACTTATGTGAGAATACTGTACGTAACTTGCTCATCAATATTCAGAAGATCGCATGAGTGTGCCACATTGGTTCCTTAACTGGTAATAAACACTCACGTATGTAAATCAATAAAATTTCTAAATTTAAGTGGGGCTTATCCAACTTTATTTTAGCAAACATGAAGCGTGACGCTATTTTAGACACGTCGACGTTATCATCCGTGCGCCGTAGGGCGCTACAGTACTTAACATAAAATATTACAATTTGTTTATTTATGCATATATCTATTTGAAATTTGCTATGTATATTTATAATATATGTACTAAAAAGTAGTGAAACTTTCAGAACGCAGTGATGATTATTTTTCAAACTAGACAATTTGTCCACGATTTAACGGGACAACCCTCGTATACTGAATCTTTTAATTTTTTTTTTTGCCTTTGAAATTTTTTAATCGCCTAAATATCCGAACACTCTGTTTCAATTTTCTTCATTTTTTGCATGTTTTATTCTAGGACCCATTTGAATCAAAGCTTTTCTCATAAGAAAACTTAAAGTACATGTGAATTTTCAATTCAGACGCTATAAAGGTTCTATTTTTGCCTAATATTTTGCTCAAATTTTCCAGTATTGATATAACTTACTGAGTTTAAGGAAGGATATGGAGATAACGAACAGTATTCAATTTCAAACTCCATAAAACAATACAAAATAGGAGCAGAGAAACACGGACCTCCGAGACATCAGAAGTTGGCTTAAGTGTCATGGAGGAGTGAGAATCCCCTGCTGACCGGTCACACCCGCCGTGTGCTCCTTGTCATGATCGGGAAATAACGGAAAAATCCGTCGTCAATTCAATATATAAATTATGGACTAACAAGAAGTAAGAAAAATGTAACAAAAGGTTGTCTTTTTAAATATTATACACAAATTTGCAATACATCAATTAATAAGGTTAAAATAAGGCTCATTCTCAAGTCGAATGTCTGATTTGGCAATCTTCATACGGGGGTCTGATGGGCCAAATCTAAACTATGAATTAGAGGGGAAAATTGGCCTATCTATTGTGTCCTTCCTTAAGTATATGTTAAAAGTCTCCTTTAAATTCATAATTTTGTAAGTTTTATGGTCGATACAATGACTTTGTCAGAAAATACAATTTACACAGTGAACTGCCTACGAATTTTCCGTTCGCTTGATCATGACAAGGACCAAACGGCGGGTGTAACTGGTCTACAGGGGGTGCTAACTTATCTATGGCACCTGATTCCACCTCTAATTGTTTAGAGGTACATGTTGCTCTGCTCTCGATTTATTTTGTTAAATGGGCAATTGAACTTGAATACTGTTCGTATATCCGTAAGTTTCATTTCTCATATATCAATGTTTCTTAATAAAGAATGTTGCAGTATTTCATTGAGAAACTTTATTTTTCAGTTTAGATATATTTTTGAAAAAATTCTTGTTTATAATGAAATTTAAAGGAATGTTGTAGAATATTTCTCAATTAAAGAGCTAGGTTCACTTTATGCATAATATGGCCCTGTACTTATATCAATTAATTAACTATCACCCTTTTCCCCATTCCATACATAAAGATAAAGTGGACACTTGGTGCTCTCATTTCTACGAAAGCCCAGAAGGCTCATTCGAGATTCAAGGTTCGAAATACGAGATTCGAAATCCGAGATTCGAAATTCGAGTTTCGAGATTCAAGATCCAGATTAACCAATCAAAAGCTCCCAAAAGGCTCATTCGAGATTCAAGGTTCGAAATACGAGATTCGAAATTCGAATTTCGAGATTCAAGATCCAGATTAACCAATCAAAAGCGGGTTCAAGATTTGATTACTCCCCTTTATTATGATTTTACTATCAAGAAATCGTTTAATATATAAATAACAAATAAGTCATTTAATTAAATTACAATGCAAGAAAGAGTGTTATATATATTAGAATGAAATTTAAATAATCATTGGATTTTTGATCAGCAAGATATACTTCAATTTATATTTTGGCTTCTTAAATATTAAATAGAATACATATATCAGGAATATATATATATTTGCATTGTCTACTTTGTTTACGGGGTTGATGACATATCAATAAAGTTATGAATAGGTGTCAAGTGTCTAAAGATTAAAAATAACGCCACCCCTTCCCACCCCGCCTGCCCATTTCTCCAAACACACAGAAAGGCTTGAAACTTGAAAGACGACGTAGTATTGATAATAGGCATTTTGCAATTTCTGATTGTTTTATTCCACTCTGAAAACTATTTACGATCCTTTGTTTTAAGCTTGGTGATAAATCTTTCGCCTTTCCCATTCTCTGTTTACATACAGAATGATGTAATTTATTGCATCACAATCATGATACGTCATATCTTATTATAACATAAGACGTCATTTAACCCAGTCATGTGCCCTTTTTATTTAAGCATGCAAACTGAGAGGAGCTACAGATAAATAAAAGTGAACGTTTCTTTTTAACCGCAATTGTAACGCCATTTTGTTTATAATATTACGATCCGCCGCTGTATTTTAGTCTCTGACCATAGCTTTATGGCCAAAGTCTAAAAGATACTCTTATAAAACCTTATATAACGCTACAATTCGATTCAGCAGTCAAGTCTCTCTGTACAAATTTACCCTTTATAATTGTAATGAAATATATATCCTAAATTATTATGCATTGTAGATAAGATTCATAATATTTCATATCTAATTATAATCAAATGCAACATTCTCCATCAGTAACGATCTGATGAAATAAAATTAGTTGACCTACTTGTTCCGGAAGTCAACGATAAGACCAAATAATATTCCATATATACGTAATTATTACTTTGTTAAATTAGAAAAATAAGATTATATATGTATTTTTCAAAATGTAAATTAAATTTTATTTTTATTTCGTTTTAATACATAAAACATTTTTTCTTGCATTATCATTTTAGCAAATGATCCATTCGTTATAAATATATTCAACGATTTCTTGATAGTAAAAACGTAACAAAGGGAAGTAATAAAAGTTGAACCCGCTTTTGATTGGTTACTTTGGATCTTCGAAACTCGAATTACGAATCTCGAATTTCGAATCTCGTATTTCGAAACTTGAATCTCGAATGAACCGTCGGGGCTTTCGTACATTTCCTATTATAAAATTTCTTTTTGAGAATCTAGATATTGGGAAACAGGAATGGAGAAATAACAATAATCTTGAAATTTGCAGAAAACATGTGTATTTGACTACCTTCAACAAAGAATTAAAATATTAGCACAGCCCACGATCCAAAAAATAAAACATGTTTTTTGATCTTCAGAAACAGATCTTTAATTATGTATTAGTATGTTTTGGATCAGAGGTTGTGCTCTATATGAAATATTGAAAAAATACTTCAACTTTAGGCCATTTCAAAGGAATTTACAGGATATGAGGAAAAATGACGCATTTTATGACGTCATAATGCATTGAATAGAGAGGAAATTATGTCATGATTGATAAATACATGGTCACCAACACTCCAAGTGATAAATGCTGCATTTGCAATTTAAACTGAGCTGTTTTGATTTTTCAGAAAGTCTCAGGGCCAAGTAAGCCCAATTGGCTCTTTCTGAAGAAAAAAAAAACACCAGAGAAGATATTTCCGTTAGACATAATTGTATAAAATTGATTTTTGACCGTTTTGTTAACTTGTGCATAATCAAATATACACTATTTAAGAAATTAATAAATTTTAAAAATACATTTGGAATTGTAGTAGGTCGGTTATGTGATTATATCCTGTGAAGGTCGAAGGTGATATGATCATGTACCGATCCATTTCAATTCCCAGTGAAGTTTTAAAGCTTGTTATTTATTCCTATGTACATGAATACACATGTTTATATTATTTATTTATGTTAACACTTAGATGAGTTATAAGGAAATATATTGGATCCTTGGAAAAAATGCATATTGGGCTAGGCATAAGCCGAGCCCAGTATGCATTTTCACAAGGACCCCATAAATTTCCGTATAATTTTCCGTGTTTGATCTGCTCCAATTTTGTATTGTTTGATGAACTTTTGAACTTGAATATTTTTCGTTATCTCAGTATATTTCATTTAATAAATGTCTACATGACGAATTGATCCCGTCGAAGATTTTCAATAAAGTTTTTTTCCCTACGAGTTAAGCAAACCATTCGGTAACATTCGTTTAAATTGTGAAGTTTGGTGTAACACTACTTAATTCTCTGCTGGTTCAAATGAAAACAACATATTGAATATAAATGATTTGGACAATATGGCACGTAGATTGAGCATATTGATTTGATATGTGTTTGTTAGATCACGTGGATGTGACACAAAAAATAATATAATGTGGGTAGGCAGCATATTATGGTTTAATACAGTGTTCTTGAAATCATTGAAATGTCAAGATTTTTATCAGAGGCAGTATAAAATACCTCATCTATTAGACTGCGATATGTTTGTAAAAAGAAAGAAACACTAATATATTTTTTTAAAAATTGATATACTGATCACAGTGAATGACGAGTAATTGTTCAATACCAATATATTTTTTACAGGAGAGCGAGATCTTGGAGCAGAAGAAGAGGAAGATTTTGGAACAGAAGATGATGGTTCACTTTGGATTAAAATTCCTGGAATAAGTCTTGGAGTTATCGTTATCATACTCATCGGAATTTTCATTTTTATAAGGCAAACTTATAACAAAATACTTATAATAAAAGCACAAGTACTGAATACTTAATAAAAAGAACCCATTACTATTCAGGTTCTAAATCAAGATATGAATGACTCCTTTAAAATAAAGAATAAAAACGAAGAAAGCGAATCTTTGCTTAATTTTATCACAAAAATGTATATTTTGTTGAAATACAACTGTTGCTATTTAAAAGAATATTTTCTATTCTTTCTACGGATGTTCCTTTTTTTACGGGTCTATAACAGTTTTTTGTCAATTTTATTATATTTGACATTTTATGTCCTGATCTAGGATCAAAATGCGCACAGGGAGAAAATGGGACAACTTCGTCCAAGGTAAGGAACGCAATAAATAAGTTATATATGATTCTATTCATGAAAATTAAAATATCGAACTGCATGTGATAAAAGAAAGAAATGCATTATCATCAAAATATTTCACTCAAAGGTAAAAAGCAACTATATTTTTTAAAATTATATAAATTATGTATGCTTGGATGCATGCAAAAAAATTCGTAAAAATATACGCTGATGTATAAAATAAAATATACTAGCATATGCATATAAGAATATGCTATGAATCTTTGACATGCTGTAATTCCGATAATATGTATATCACTATTAATCATGGCAAGTGTGTTTACAACTGTAGCGTATTAAAAAAAAATAATTTCTTAATTTCTTTAAAACTTTTACAATTCGCTTATTTTTGGTTCTGTAATTCACATCGGAAACTTATAATTTTTTTTCTCTTACGCACGTTCGTCTGGGGGAGCATTTCTTAATTTAACATCTTTTTTGAATAAAATTATAAGTAAATTAATATCTGATGAGAAATATTAACAAACTGCAATGAATTAAAACTATTTAAACTTATTAAGAAAACAAGTCTAAAGTCCAAAGGATATTTTTTTTCTTTCTGTTACCTTTTTTATTCCATCTTGACATGTGACCTGTCGACATGGGATGCTTAATCCTCCATGGCACTTTATACCACTTCCAATGTTAATGAGGTCTGTGCTTGCACTGCTGCAAATCTGTATTATTCAAAAGGACCTTTAAGTTTGATTTTGGTCGTTAGTTTCACATTTCTTATAATTTTCTCAAGAGATTAATGTCCCCTTCATTCATAATTTACTTCTAGTATATAAGAATTCCTCCTAATGATTTGTACTTCTTTCTCCCTCTTTCAATGGTTATCCAAAAAGTTTTTCGATAGAAGGTATTTTTTTTACTTTAGAATTGCCTCACTGAGAAGTGTGCAATATTAGATTTTAATTTAGACCATAATTAAGTAAATTACAAAAATTAAAGCAATATATGCAACATTTTATATTATTCTATATTATGGGAGTAATGGCTTTGTACGAGGGTAGTTCGGTAAGTTCGTGGACTTCTGTCACATCTTTTTTTTTTAATATAACGTAATATTTTATACAAATTTTGTAAAAAATATATCATCAATAAATTCAAATGATTTGTATTATTTTTTAAAAAATACATTGCATCATAATTTATTTCAAAATTAACCACGATTAAAAACTGCAAAAATCGGATCGCGGAGCAAGTAGAATTTAGTAAATGATTTTACTTTAAAATTTTCAGGGAATCCATTATCATCAAATTTACACGCTGGCGCAAGTGTGACCACCCTATTATCGACGACATCTTTTAGAAAAGAGGACAAACCGAAAGTGAAGGTTTCTGATTATCCAACCCTTAAAGCATCACAGGACGTCGATAAATGTTTTGATTCATATCACACAATAAGGAGAGATGATTTCCACCAAAATAGAAGGTCTATACCAATATTTTTTAGAAGAAGTACAGATAGAAATAAATTGAAGTCTTCTACGTTGCCAGTTTCAGGACTTCGATCAAACTTTCAAGGCGGTAATACAGGTGATGTTTATCTGATCAAGAAGCCAGAGAAACACTCTAAAGAAGACTTTCGGGGTAATGGAAATGATACTGGTCAACATGTGCTTCACAAAGTGGAAAGCGGAGGTCAATTTACTTATGAGCAAAATATGACATCCAATGCACAGGATACTGATTCTAAATCAAATCAAAACGCAGTCCGATACAGCCTTGTGAAATGTGTATAAGATTATTTCCTAAAAAGTCTTAATCATGGTTTTGACCCCCAAAGCAGCAAAAAAATTATATTATCCCCGTCTTTGTATAATATTTACAAGATTCACAAAACAATCATCACTTTGTCGTACAATCAGAATGTTGTCACATTGAAATTGGAAATTCATAGACAAAGAGTAAACTTTGATGGCAGGTGTCAAAACACTATTCTAGTACTCTTTTAATTTTACACACGAAGAACAATTATAACAAGTGGAATCAGAAAAAAAAAATTCAAATAGAATTGATTTAGATCTACTGCAAGTTTACTCTTAAGTCAAGAGGTTCGATATTAAACAGACCTACACCTAAAAAATGACCATTTTTAAATGTTGCACTGAGAACAGATGAGAAAAGTTCAGCAAGAAGTCTAAATACCTCCCCGAGTACATTTTCAGTGTCTGCAAAAAAAGCTTAGAGTAACATGGGGATTTTGAAGAAAGGGACTCTAAAAGAGTCTAGCGCTAAAATCGCAAGAATGAATATATGCACTTCGTCAAAAAGGGTTGCCATTAGAAAAGAAATATTTTTATATTCAGTCTTTTGATATTATATGTATAAAGTATTTTTTATCAATTTCATTATATTTTACATTTTTTCCTGTTCTAGAATCAATATGCGTCGAGAAAGTAAGTAGGATAACTTTACTGAGAAGATAAATTGAATGTAAACACTTAAGCCTTCATTAAAAAACTTCATGTGTAATTGTGATTCCCAGTATATGACTTGATATTTTTCCTGTTTCCACAGAAAATGTTTTGTAAAAATGTTTCTAAAAGAATTTCAATAGGACATATTAACTGTTTATACAACTATTCCTTACAATGTTGAGTCCTGGCTTTTTGGCATCATAAACAGCTGCTTTTTTCAATAAATATTGAATCCAAAATGTTCTTCATTGGTCGTTTGAAAAGTAATTTTGTGTCTCTATTCAAATTAATGTAATCCGAAGTTTATATGAACAACATAATCAATCGATTTCTGACAGAAAATTTCTAGGCTTTATCAAAAGATTTCTTATTTATGCAGCAAAAAAAAAAAAATTATAAACTTACCTGTGGAGTTAATTTGTCCAAGTTGTGTCGATACACAAAAGCCACCTCTACGCATAATTATTTCTAAAATGATGAAAGCCTGTGACCAATGAGTTGATACAAAGATATCAATAACCTCTAATAAAGTCAATCTTTCGAAAGTCTATAGTTGCTTAAATGACCTTGTCAAAGAATAAAATTGTTTTGTCGATGCAAATCGTTGACCTATCATTTTCATTGTTCAACCATTTTTTTTTTTTTTTGCGATTTGCCTGTCAAGGAGCACACGGCGAGTGTGGCCTATCGGCAGGGGATACTCACTCCTCTATTACAGCCGATCTTACCTCTGATGTTTTAGAGGTCCATGTTTACTCTCAATTTGTATTGTTTAGATGGACGTTTTAAGCTGGATAAGGCTTGTTTTCGTCACATTCCTGTGAAATTGGTCTTAAAAAGTAGATCAATTTAACCTTTCTTTGTATCATGACTAGGCTGAATGAGTCCGTTGAAATATAGAGGATAGTGATTATTACTGCGAAAACCTAATCATTAACATATGACAAGATGGATGACCTCCGCATTGCCATCATCAACGTCTTTTATTTATGAGAAAAAGGATGACCTCGGCTATGCCATTGTCTACGTTCTTTATCAATGTAGTGATATTCTTATGGTGTATATTTGTTTTTAATCATTAGCTTCTCAAGTGTTTAGGTGTTCAAACTGGTCAAGCATATCATGCAGTTTGAGTTAGGAAAAATGAAGCAATAAACTTGTTAGTGGCTTGGGTTATCGACCTGAGAGAACGATAATGATTGGAGAAAGAAATAAATCGAGCAGAATATCTGTGCTGAAATAAGCTGTAACACTGGTTAAAATCATTTTTGCTAGAAATCATGGAATTGCAAAAGCACGGGCCACAGCAACTTTGCAGTTTTTGAAAAAAAGGGGTTAGAATCTGTTTAAAATATTTTCTAATGAAACTTCAATACTAAGTATTGCATTGTAAATGTCAGACTATACATTCCTGTAAATTGTAAAAAAGAAAAAAAAACCGCTTAATTTTCTATGGGAGAAAATCAACCCAAGGAACTCTACTACATCGTTTGGATGAAGGTTGAATTCTAGAAATATTAAAAATAATTGTCGAGAAAGCAAATATGCACTTAAGGATATCCGATCCTCAGCCAGGAAGGATAACTCCAAAAATTAATATTAAATTTGAAATGCATCAAAATGAAACTTCCATGCAACACTTTTCATTTTATTCATCTCTATAAGATTCAAGATTTTTGGAAGTCTTAGAAAAGGTCTGATAAAAGTTGATATTTGTACCCTATAAAAGTAAAAAAAAATTACAGTTTTAGAGAAATAAGATTTTCTTGAATCCAGCCTTTGATATCAATGATTATTAGCATGATATGAAATAAGAAGTGATTTGTGGTGTTTACATAACTTTGTGGATTCAGAGATACTTTTATGAGTATTTTTGATTACTTAACTGCTAATTTTATAAACCTGAGGATCGGACTACCTTAATGTAGAACGACTGATAAAAAAACTTTCTTGAATAAAGCATGTTATTAGGACTGGAGATTCGAATTGTTAAGTATTTAAAACTGCTTCAGAAATCCGACATTGAGAGATCTCCGCTTCATTATGCTCCTCCATGGCACCCTATCTTACCTGTGATGTTTTAAAGGTCTATATGTGCTCTGCTCCCCATTTGTATTGCTTCAAGGACTTTGGAGCTTGAATACTGTTGGTCATCTCCATATTTTACACAGCTGCTTTGCAAAAAACATTCAATTGTTAATGAATACGGACCTTCAGTTGTTAGTTTTTTGGGTGTATCAAGCTTTATTTAACGCACTTACTTAAAAAATAACAACATTTTTGAAAATAATACAAAAAGTATAACAATGCAATGTTTTACACGTCATAGATCCACTTCTTGCTTGTTATGTACCCAAACGAAGTTTAGGAACATATTGCTTTTGTTGTCTCTTGCTATCCTTCTTGGTTTTTGACCCCTCAGGATTCTCGTAAACTACACATTCAATTAAAGTGACACCTTATTTAGGGTTAATAGACGTGTTAGGTAGATCTAAGGACTGAAGGTTATTTTGCATGCACATGAATACAATGTATTAAGAAAACCAATATATCTGATATAGCCGTAACTTTTCAATAAAACGCTTTGATAATTAAAATGAAAGATAGATAAATTATGTAGACAAGATGGTCATGCACAGGCATTCCGTATTCGCGCCCGCAATGCTTAAATGTCCAATAAACTTAATATAACCCTACCTTTTATAATCTTGATAAAATACTTTGACAGGCAGTATTTATTGATTTGTTAACAGTATAGACAAGATGACTAAGTCACCATATAAATGTATGCACGTGCGCGTAATTCTAAAATTACCGATGTACTTGATATGACTGTAACATTAATTTTTTTGGGAATGCTTTGATGCTCAGAAAACTAAGAAATTAACAATTTGATGAAACAAGAATTTCAGCAATCTCGTTTAAAGTCATAATTTCGTAAGTTCTATGGTCGATACAATGACCTTATCAGTAAATACAATTGATCACTGACTGACATTTTTCATACTTATTGTTAGTCCATTATTGATACACTGAATGGACGACGGATTTTTCCTCTGTTTTCAGATGATGCCAAGGAGCACACGGCCGGCGTGACCGGTCGGCAGGGGATGCTCACCCATCCATGGCACCAGATCCCACCTCTGATGTTTTGGAGATCCGTGTTATCTCTGCTCCTATTGTGTATTGTTTTATGGATTTCTGATCTTGAATACTGTTCGTTATCTCCATACGTTTCATGTATAACTTGTGTAGACATGATGACATGAGTATCATTCTCATACGACATGTAAAACAAATAATATTTTTGATAAACGCTTATACCTCTTAATAAAAAGGCTTTGATTTGCATCATTAAACCCTTAAAATATTCGGGAAGTCTATAATAGACAGTATGTGCCTTATCTAATGCAGTTTTAATGAAACTAGGTAAAAATACAGTTGAAGAACATATGTAGTCACCGCGAGGTTGTGTAAACGTTAATATCCTATCTGTATGTCATTTGCACCTTATTTGTGGAAAACTTCTTATTCTTAGAAAGTGGTTAGTTGTAATGGTAATTCATTTATATTTTAAATGAAAATATTCACGACTTTAGGAATAAAGTATTTCTAATATGAGTAACTGTATTAGATATACATTCGATGGATAGCTATGTCTCTATATTCAAGTAAACGAAAATGATTCATTAATATTCATCCACTTATCATTTAGTCACCAGTAAAGACGGAAGATATGTTGGATAAAACAGGAAAGAGGCATAGTTATACAGTTTGTTGATTGTTTGAAAAAACACCTCAGCATGTATATTAAACCCTGTAAGTTGAAAGGGTTTTTTTTCTGTTGTGGTCTAATATATAACCCTAGGAAGGATAACTAGAGCGAATCGTCTTTTCTGCAAAATTCGAATTATATATAGAAGAAAAAAATATGGAATCTGGATTATAAAAAAGAAGTAAATTTCTATCACAGAGGGTTTCAATAGTTAATCAATTTCCGAGTGAAACGAATTAGAGTTTTCCTTACTGTCTGAAACATTTTATACAACATAATTTACAATTGTTCGTATTTCCGACATAGACATACAAAAATTATTCTGATGATTGGAACTAAAACGAAAGTGCAAAGACGTGTTCTATCTTAATATTGATATGGCATCCCTGAAGCACTTTTCGAACAGGGACACCACTAATTTTTCCAGAGTATGTCGACTTGTCAGTGTCTGTGCCGACCTACTGAGAGATGTCCTTCTTCACTTCGTTTCAGTGATGTCCCTGTATTCTGAACTTGACCATGCAAAAGAAAAATTCATGAAAATTCTTAATCCACGACAAAAAATGCTTCTTTATAAAAATAGAAAATCATTTTTGCCATATGATGATCTGGACATAGCACTGCTATATCTGATCATACGAAATCTCTGTGATGAAAGTCTGCACACACTTGGAAATGGACAGAAGGGGATGAGAAGCCCTAAAGAAGGGTGGGGAAAAGAACCTACTGAAAAAGACCGGTCTCTGGCAGCAAATATAGAAAGAATTCGTCTGTTTCGAAATGATATATGTCATCGAGAGAATGCCTCGATGGCAAACCCTGAATTCTTCACAATTTGGACAAAGATAAGTAGAGTGGTTGAGGAAATTGAAAAGGAGCTGGGAAATAGAGTAAATCCTACTAAATACATAGCTCTATTGGAGACAATAAAAAGCATTTCAATGGACCCTGAGGAAACCCAGAAATACATAAAAGAATTGGAAAAAATGAAGGAGGAAAAAGAAGGACTCGAAGAGAGACTGAATCTAAAAATAGAAGAATTAAAGAAAGAAATTGTAAATAAGGATCTTGCTAGAATCATCAAATATCCAGGTCCGTCTGACATGGTCTTTTTAATACAGTATATTAACAAAATGTTATTTCTATCTAAGTCAGATATATTTTAATAGTTGTTCAGTTTTGGTATGGGTGTTTTTGTATCTTCTGTTCTCAAGTAACAAATGAGTGTGCCTTTAAATTGTGACCTGTCGGTAGGGGATGCTCACTCCTTCATGATGACACCTGATCCCACTTCTGATGTTTTGGAGGTCTATGTTTGTTCTGCTCCTATTTTTTATTGTTTAATGGACTTTTGAGCTTGAATACTGTTCGTATCTCAGTATAGTCCATTTTAAATTATACGTAATAGTTTACGAGATATGTGAAAATAATGAAGATTGACCTTGCTCAACTTCCAAGGCAACAATACAAACTATGAGTTGAGAAAACTCGAAACCATGAAAATATCAGATGTAAAATAAAGGGGATGGATGACTAAGAAACCCTTGTAGACCGGTCCCTTCTGATATTAGTCCCTTGTCATGAACAATTTAGCGAAGAAACCCGTCCTCAATTTAATATACAAATAATGACATAATGACTCGTTACATAGATTCTGATGGGTAATACGGAAATATATGGGGTCCTTGAAAAAAATGCAAATTGGACTCGGCGTAAGACTCGCCCAATATGTATTTTTTCAACAAACCCATATATTTCCGCAGAGTACTTGTGTGTAAAATCAGAATGTTTTTCACAAACTAGTTTTGCAAATGACCATTGACAAGGTAATGTATTTGAAAAGCAGCTGTCAATGATATCAAAAAGTTTAGACATATTTTCCGTGGGGAATGGTTGTATATAAAGTTGAAAAGTAGTAGTTTTTTTATGCAGTTGATTTTGGTAAAAAAAAAAGTTATTTCAAATTTTACAAAAGTGCCTTTGAAGTTTAAATTATCCCGATCTGATTTACCACCACTTCTCGAGTGCTAGTTTATTGTTACACCGTACTCCTGAAGTGTCTCCTTCACTACTGTTAATAGTTTAGTGAGGAGTAAAGAAAGAGGCTTGGTATAAAATATTTATTGGACCCATTATGTATCTTTGTTAGGATTTTTGTGGAATTCTTGAATCCAATATAGATATGATAATTAAAATTTATTCTGGCTGTCATAAAAATTAAAAATATTAAAAATTGACATAGGATTTTGAAGAATTTCATCTTTAGAAAGGGAGCTATGGATATAAGTGGTAAAACCACTAGTAGAATTAAAGCTCAGTTCCTCTAAAATACAATTCAATTATCGAGCTTTGAAAACAAAGACAATGTTGTTACCTGCTTTGTCAGCAGGGACCAGTACATACTGATCATGTAATCTATCATAAATTCTTTCTTCACTTCCGAGTTACTGAACACAAAAGGATAGTTTTTGTTTATTTTGCCCCTCAGTTGCTTAGTGCGAGATTTTAACATAAACCGTATACATTTAATCCATTCTGACACCATGCCATCTTTTTCATGTTTTGCCCACCACCTGGCGTAATTTTCCACAGAATTCATTGTATCTTTGAAATTATGACGCCAGTTAAAAGATCGGGGTTATCATAAAAATTGAGCAAAATGTTTCAATGTTTCTGTTCTATATTCTAATATACACATTTATGTCATTGCGTAGAAGGGATACCAAATTAAGAATTAAGAAAATCTCAATCATATAAATCATAAATTATTTTCTTGCGTTCTTCTTAAACTTGTTTCAAAATTTATGTTTTTAGGTCACCTGAGTAAACTCAGGTGACCTATAGCTATCTGTTTTCGTCCGTCGTCGTGCGTCGTGCGTTAACATTTGAACATTTTTAGCTTCTTCTCTGAAACCACTGAATCAATTTCAACCAAATTTGGCATATAGCATCTATGGGTGAAGGGGAACAAAAATTGTAATTTCATGGTCCCTGCCCCCCTGAGGCCTGGGGGGTGGGGCAAAAACCACTAAAATTAGTGCAATCTTTGAAAATCTTCTTCTTTACTCCTGGACATCAAGCAGTCAAACTGTTGGTATGATTGTAATCAGCATTGAGTCCTCTACCAAAACTGTGAAATTCATGGCCCCAGGGTCAGAGGTTCTAGTGCTAGGGCGGGGCTAAACAGGTTTTATAGTGAAAATGCATTATTTCTTTAAAATTCTTCTTTTCTGCTCCTGGGCATTAAACTAACCAAGTGCATAGGTAAGTTGAAAATGACCGCCTTTTCCAAAATTGTGAATTTAATGGCCCCAGGGTCAGGGGTTCTAGTGGTAGGGTGGGGCTATATTGATTATATAGTGAAAATGCAAAAATACTTTGAAATTCTTCTTCTCTGTTCATGGGCATTAAATAAACTAACCAAGTGCAAAGCTATGTTGAATAAGGCTGCCTCTTCCAAAATTGTGAATTTCATGGCCCCAGGGTCAGGGGTTCTAGTGCTAGGGCGGGGCTATATAGATTATTTAGTAAAAAATGAATTATTTCTTTGAAAATCGTCTTCTTTGCTCCTGAGTATTAAATAAACTAATCAAGTACATAGTTATGTTGAATAAGGCTACCTCTTCCAAAATTGTGAATTTCATGGCCCCTGGGTTGGGGGTTCTGGTGTTAGGGCGGTGCTTTATTGATTATATATTGAAAATGCATAAATTCTTTAAAACTCTTCTTTTCTGCATCTGAGTATTTACCCAATGAACTATGTACATAGTAATGAGGAGGAAGGATGCCTGTTTGAGATTTTTTAATTTCAGGGTCCCTGGGTTATGGCTTCTTGTGTTAGGGCGGGGCTCTAATGTTTATAAAGTGAAAATGCATGAATTCTTTGAAAATCTTTTCCTTTGTTGTTGGGTATAATGCCAATGATCTTAGTATATATTTATGACAAAAAAAACTGCTTCTATCAAAAATGGTTAATTTCCTGGCCCCTGGGACAGAGGTACTTTTGGGGGGTGTAACATAGTCTGAAATGATTTAATGCTTTGAAATCTGCACTTTGGTATTAATCAACAGCATGATGAAGTAAACATTTTTAAAATTTCCAAAATTTTGAAAGATGTGGCCCCAGGGTCAGTTGTTCCTGTGGGATAGGGAGCTCAACTGTGGATCCGCCCTAGCACAAGAAGCCCTGACCCAGGGGCCCTGAAATTCTCTAAAAGTGGAAATGCATTTTCTCTTTGTTACTCTGATCTACCTCTGGGTATTAAGTAACCAAAATAAGCATGCTGAGTGTATAATTATGATAAGCAATGGTGCCTCTTTCAAAATTGTAAATTTCATGGCCTCTAGTTTAAAAAATGAATCAAATTCAATTGTTGGAAAGTTGTCGCATGATACTCAGGTGACCTATAAGGCCCATGGGCCTCTTGTTTAAAAGTAATAGTCATAGATAATTAGACAACAAAATTTTATTTTCAGACACAAAGAAAGAGAAGCAAATTTGTAAGTATCACAGCAGTATGTATTTCTACAAATATTTTTTTCAAATGAAGTGGTAACTTAAACAGACATTTTATTCTTCAGCCAGGACCGATGCTTTTTTAGAGATGGAGTTTCGACGTTTGGAAGAATATTTTGTGAAAACAAAGGCGTTTTCAAGCGTGATGGATAAACTTCAGAGATTGGGATATGTTGTTATCAAAGGCAATCCTGGTGATGGGAAAACTGCAACATCACTCTTCATAATGAAAAGGTTAAAAGATATAGGGAAAATACCGATTCAAATTCGAACACCCTCTGGTTGGGATGAATTTGTTTCACCGAGAGAAAATTTGATTATATTTATAGACAACATTTTCGGTGAATTATCTGTGTCACAAACTGACATTACACAATGGTCAAACAGGTTTCTAGAAATGAAAGCTTCTGTAGGTTCTGGTATAGAAGGATCTGATAATGTTATGATCATCACCATTAGAAACGATATTCATGAAGAATGTTGTCTTTCTCTAAAAGATGATGATTTCTTCCTAACTGCTACAGTTGACATATCAGACAGATATAATAAATTGTCAACAATGGAAATGACAATGATTCTGGAAAAATACATCCCGGAAGTGAATAATCAGTCAATTATTATTGACTCTGAAAAATTCTTTTCTGATGTCCCGAACCTTGGATTTCCGCAATGTTGTCGACTTTTCAAAGACAATCCTTTTTTACAGAAAGGAGGATTATCTTCATTTTTTCAAAATCCATTGTATTTTCTAAAAGATGGATTTCGGAAATATATACAAAATAAAGAAACAAAAATGGCGGTGCTAGTATTTATTTTGATGCAAGGAGGGAAAGTTGAGAAAAATGCTTTGGAAAGATCTACCTCTAAATTGAAAGCTTCGAAGATAAAAGCAATGGAAATGTGTGAATTAAAACCAAGTCTTATCGATTTTCATAAATCAATCAAATCTTTCCTTGGAAGTTTTCTTGTGCTTGATAATGCAGACGGGTGTTATAGATTTTCTCACAGTTCCGTACAGAGTAGTCTGTTTCTTGTTCTTGGTGAAATTTGCGAAATGGATGATCTGATATGCAGTTGTGATTATATTTTGTTGAAACATCTCACTTCAAGCGATTGTCCAACGAGTAAAATGGATACCTTGTTGATAACAAGCGAACATTTTCAGTGTGTGGCTGAAAAAATAATTTCCCTCATCGAAACACGTATTCCAACAGTTTTCGCCTCCCTTGCTGAACTTATTTTGTGGCAAGATGAAACTTTTTTCAAAGAATTTTTGGATATCAATGAAAAAGAAAAAGGGAAATTTCTCTTTCAAGTAGATGAGGAAAGTAATTCTATGATGGTTCATTTCGCAGCAGCATGAAATGAGAAATGGATGAAATTCATATTTGAGAGAGTGAAGGAAAAATCTTTCACAGAACAACACTATCTTTCTTTAAATTCAGCTTGTGAATGTAACCAGATAAATATTGTTGAATCATTACTCAACGCCAACGTTAAACCTGACATTAAAAGTTGTTTCTATGCAGTTCGAAGCGGAAGAATTGAAGCAATCAAGTTATTAGTGGCTCGGGGTGTCGATCTGAGAGAACGCACATACTCTCTTACATATCACTGGAGAAGCAAACGGGGCACAATATCTGTGCTGGATGAAGCCTGTCTCATTGGTCAAAATCATCTTGTACTAGAATTATTGGACATTTGTCCAGATCTTCTTTACACAAAAAACGAAAGTGGGGAATTCAGTTTATTATTTGTTGCGTATGCAGGAGCCACAGAAACTTTGCAGACTTTGATTGAAAAGGGATTGAATCCCTATGAAAGATCGTCTATTGAATCTACAATATTACACTGTGCATGTCAAAATGGTAAACTAAAGACTTTCCTTTATATCATAAAAACATACCCTGATTTGTTAAAGGAGGACTACAACTACTCAACCCAAGGGACTCTGCTCCATCGAACGGCTGAAGGGGGTAGTGTTGAAATGTTGAAAATTCTTGTCGAAAAAGGCAAAGATATATACTGTAGAACAAGTGATGGAAAAACTGTCTTACATATAGCTTGTAAGGACGGAAAATTTGACATGTGTAGGTACTTAGTGGAAACTTACCCAAAACTGCTTCAAATATCGGACAGCTTCATGATGCTGGGTTTGGAGGCAATGTTGAGATATTCGAATTCCTCAAAGAAAGAGGTCTGAATGTGGAATCTGTTAGCTATAAGGGGAAAACAGTCCTTCATTACGCTTGCACAAACGGTAGATTAAAACTCTGCAAACACATTATTAGAGAACATCCAACGCTACTGGCAGTCAGGGACAATAAAGGTGTTCGTGTAATCCATGAAGCTGCTTGGAGTGGAATTGTTTAACTTTTAAAATTTTTAGTCAAAGCCAAGAAAGACTGGGGCATCTGTGATAAAACATTCGATGGACAAACATTGCTACACCTAGCAGCAGATGGAGGCTGCTTGGGTATGTCTAAATATTTACTGGATAAAGAGCCGGATCTTGTGCGAGAGGTGGACAACGAAGGAATGTCAGTTTTACATACTGCAGCTTCGGGGGGAAACATTCGATTATTTCAAATCTTGCTGGATATTGGTCTTCTTCCAACCAAGAAGACAAAAAGTGGAGAATCGGTTCTTCATCTGGCTTGTAAAAGTGGGAAGTTATTAATGAGCAAGTATCTTGTTGATGAATATAAACAGCTTTTGGGGGAAGTGGATAACGAGGGTAACACCGTGGCACACTCCGCGGCATATAGTGGAAAAATTCAACTACTGATTCTATTACAGGAAGAGGGAGTGGATGTACAAGCTAGATCAAATAAAGGAAAAACGCCATTGCATGTGGCTAGTGAACAGAGTAAAATAGATCTCTGTAGACATCTTCTTAACACAAGTGAAAACGAAGATTTGGTCAAAATCAAAGATAAAGACGATATGAGTGTTTTACACAGCGCCGCCGCTAGTGGATACATAGGACTTTTTAAACTATACATTGATCGAGGTTTACGTGCAGCCGATTTCACTAGAGAGGGGAAGTCGGTTTTAAGCTTTGCGGCAAGAAACTGTAGAATACAAATGTGTAAATACATTGTTGAAAAGTATGGCGAGTTGATATGGCATATAGATAACCTAGGTGAAAATGTGCTCCATGATGCGGCACGAGGCGGCAATTGCAAAGTGTTCGAAATATTCATTTCACTTGGTTTAAGAGCTGACACCAAAAACAAAAAAGGAGAAACTGTGCTCCATATTGGTTGCTCAAATAAAAAATTCAAATTTTGTGACTATGTTCTAGAGAAATATCCGAGTTTGGTGGAAGAGGAGGACAATTTAAGCCAAAAGGTACTAAGAGACACCTCTCTAGATTCTCTGCAAAATCAGTATCGGTTTGTATGTTCAAGTATGGAAAAGGAAAAAGGAAATTTAAAAATAAGTAATTGACTGCGTCCTCAGATGATAATAAAAACTTTTAAGATTATATGCTAAAGCATATCTTCAACGGCCTCCCAGAAGTGGTGGCATCCAATGTTAAAGTATTCGCAGATGACTGCTTTATCTACAGGACAATCTAACTAATCAATGACACATTCCAACTTCAACAAGACTTAAGTGCACTTGAGAGGTGAGAAATGACTGGCAGATGGCTTTTCACCCTAAGAATTGTACCACCATCCACATTTCTAAGAAACGCCATCCAATCTAAGAATCTTACCAATTGCTTAGCCATATCTTGGAAGATGTCCCAAGTGGCAAAAACCTTGAAATCACAATTAGCAAAGGCCTGTCATGTCGCGAGCATATCACTCAATTTCTGCCAAGGCCACGAGAACAATTGGTTTTTTAAGAAGGAATCTCAGAGGTTGTCCACATGCTATCAGGAGCAAGTCATGCACAACCCTAGTGTGTCCAGTATCGGAGTATGCGTCAGTGGTTTGTTTCCTTACCTACATCATCTAATTCAACGGCTAGAAGATACTCAGTGCCAGGAAGTAAGGTTTGCCATTGGCGATTATAAATCAAGAGATACAGGAAGTATGTCCACCATGCTATATCAACTCGGTTGTTGTGAACCACTAACACATTGGAGGATCCGGAACCAAGTGCTCATGTTCTACAAATTTAAAATCAGATTATGGAAATCCCAGTACATCACCTGCTTCATGTCAACCATTAGCAGTACCCGTGGTTTTATGGCAAATGAAGTCCGCCAAATCAGCACCTGGGTTGATGTCTACAAGAATTCATTTATTTCAGCAACTATCATAGCATGGAACAATATACCAGCCACAATTAAGAATTCATCATCAGTGCACCTGGACATCTGCAGACACGATATACCGGTAATTAGACCATCTATTTACCCAGAAACACGCTGTCTGAGATTTTGCATCACTTAACTGTCCACTTTTAACTTTTTATCCCCTTTTAAATGTACATGATTTTTAACTGTTCACCATAGAGTTACAGGAGTATTGACACTCGATTTGAGTACACTCCACAAACAGAGGAAGAAGAAAGCAGAAGCTCCTATGGAACCTCCTAAAAATACAAAATTCTGAACTGTTGAGTGAAAGAAATGTTATGCGTGGCTGTCAATTGAGATTTAACATAAAAATTAAACTTCATGTACGTTGGTATGGCAATTTATATAAACAATCCATGTATTTATTTAAGGAAAGTATAAATTAACTGAACAATAAAATGATTAAAAAGTATATAAGAAGATTCAAGGGACCATAAAGATGGCAGAACAATTCGAAATCAAATTAAGTACTTATATAAACCCATACGCCTTACAATTATTATGAAGAAGCTCTGCCATAATATAACCCTGTGAAGGTTATATTTGCTAACAATGTCATTTTAATGGTCACGGAATTTACGAAATGCTGATTATAACTGTTTGTTGAAATCCATGTCACATCAATTTATCAGTCAGTAGCCTGGCTCTGTTCAAAAACTGGCTGTACTCAGAGGTTGTCAGTATGCGTCAGTGGTTTGTTTCCTTACCAACATCATCTAATTCAACGGCTAGAAGATACTCAGTGCCAGGAAGTAAGGTTTGCCATTGGCGATTATAAATCAAGAGATACAGGAAGTATGTCCACCATGCTATATCAACTCGGTTGTTGTGAACCACTAACACATTGGAGGATCCGGAACCAAGTGCTCATGTTCTACAAATTTAAAATCAGATTATGGAAATCCCAGTACATCACCTGCTTCATGTCAACCATTAGCAGTACCCGTGGTTTTATGGCAAATGAAGTCCGCCAAATCAGCACCTGGGTTGATGTCTACAAGAATTCATTTATTTCAGCAACTATCATAGCATGGAACAATATACCAGCCACAATTAAGAATTCATCATCAGTGCACCTGGACATCTGCAGACACGATATACCGGTAATTAGACCATATATTTACCCAGAAACACGCTGTCTGAGATTTTGCATCACTTAACTGTCCACTTTTAACTTTTTATCCCCTTTTAAATGTACATGATTTTTAACTGTTCACCATAGAGTTACAGGAGTATTGACACTCGATTTGAGTACACTCCACAAACAGAGGAAGAAGAAAGCAGAAGCTCCTATGGAACCTCCTAAAAATACAAAATTCTGAACTGTTGAGTGAAAGAAATGTTATGCGTGGCTGTCAATTGAGATTTAACATAAAAATTAAACTTCATGTACGTTGGTATGGCAATTTATATAAACAATCCATGTATTTATCTAAGGAAAGTATAAATTAACTGAACAATAAAATGATTAAAAAGCATATAAGAAGATTCAAGGGACCATAAAGATGGCAGAACAATTCGAAATCAAATTAAGTACTTATATAAACCCATACGCCTTACAATTATTATGAAGAAGCTCTGCCATAATATAACCCTGTGAAGGTTATATTTGCTAACAATGTCATTTTAATGGTCACGGAATTTACGAAATGCTGATTATAACTGTTTGTTGAAATCCATGTCACATCAATTTATCAGTCAGTAGCCTGGCTCTGTTCAAAAACTGGCTGTACTCAGAGGTTGCTCTTAAGTATCAAATAAGTTTGGAGACCCCTATATGTGGGTGAAAGTGGAATGTTATTACATAAATAAAGAATGTTGATGATGGAAAAGTTGACATCAGTTCATTTGTTATATAATTTAGTTATCATTTGGCCAATGGTGTTATAGTTAACTAATATATAAATATGAAACAGATGGTCTGTCTTTTTATTATACATAGACTTGAACAAATCATACCAACAAGTTTTCAAAAATAAAATTGGGAAATTTATTGCCCCCTCCCCCCATGGGCAAATATATCACATGTATAAGGAGATTCTCAACACCGAATCTGGGTTCAATCCTCATAAATGGAAAACCTAGCATTGATAGAAGTCTAATCTTATCAACAAGACATGAATTATCCATGGTGATTTCAATATTTGATAAAGATTTTATTAAATAAAATCATTTTAAGAAGATTTCTAGTTCTTGAAACAGAAAATGAGGTCATATATGGACAATCCTCCATCAGAAAGGCAACTTTCCACCAATTGTAAATGACTCCATGTATTAAAAATGTGGAACTCTCTACTTTTAACATCTTAATTGACATTTATTTATATCTGGCAATGATAACAATAATAGTGATTATTTGTCAAACATATCTCTTATTGCATTGAAAACAAAATATTTAATAGAACTATCAGGAAACTTGGAAATGGGGTATCATTCAAAGGAATTCTACATCAAATGAGCACTGTGTCTGCATTTCATCTATACCTTCACAAAGGTATGGCTCAACAAAAGAAAAAATGTTTTGAAAAATGTCTGTTCAAAGGAATTTTCCTTCGAAATAATACATATAAACCAATATATACAGCTGTAATAATAGAAAAGACATTCATAACCTCTTAATTTAATAAAAATACAATGCACATTATAAATACAGCTCTTAAAAATTGAATGCCAGCTGTTTGTTTCATACTATAAATGTACACATGATTATACTTAAAGGTGCTTAGACACAGCTTGAACTTGATAACATTATACAGAAAATTTTAGACAATACTAACCTCTAATCTGTGTCTAAGCTCCTTTAAGAAGCTTTTTAAGGGAGGATAGATAGGCTAATAGGAATAGAACTTCTATTTGATCAATCCTACAGCACACAAACTAAATACACATTGTATCAATAAAACATGGAAGACCCTTATGTAATACATCTTTAATCACTAAGCTTGCCCAGCAATTGTTACTTTTACTATCTTGCCAAATTGAGCTTCAAGATCACCATACACAGATGCAGAAATAAATCTAACTTAATTATGGGTTTCTATATTTATGTTAGAGTCTTAAACTTTTATAATTTTTATCAATGAATTCTTCTCCTTTCATATGTTCATTGACATTACACAAAACTATAATACTTCTCTCAGCTACAAAAATTTCTTCACATCTCTTTGCATGTGTTAATACTTTGGTGCATAAACTATGCTAAATAATAGTTGTATTTATAAAGTTGACCTGGTATATTCAATCACTGTCATAACTTTAACAGTATCTTTCAAACAAAGCAAAATATCAGAGTGTACATCAAAATAAATGTACATGAGCTATTTATAAAATCACCCTCTTATACTACTGATTCCCTCAATGCCCCCACAATCACTGTGTCCCTCATGTAAGATTTTATAATCCAATCACCACCAAACTGTACATACAGGTACATGCATGAAGTTTGAAGTACACAAGTTTAAGGTCAACTTGTAGAATAAATGAAGATAAAAATATTGGATGAACAATCAGATCAGTTATTTGGAGTACGAGATAAATCTGACATATAGTTTCTACTGTACAGTGTTTAATATATGGACTACTACTATAACCATTCAATCATTCTTACTGCATCTACAACACAAGTACAGCATATACCATATATCATACTTCAAAATGATGGTTACCCAGTCTTTTTTACCAAATAGAATCTAAAATAAATCTGTTATACGCTACAAACACCTAAATATGCATATGATACTGAAGTTAAACTGGCTAAAGACTTGAATACTGACAAAAATATTGCCAACATTTTACAAAAGCAACGAAATTTAATGAAAAATTTGACTAGAGATCACGAGTACATTTAAATTAATTCCTTTGAATAGTCTTTCTTTTTCAATTGCCAAGTCAAATGACAGTTAAAAAACCCTAGCTTATCTTAAATCTAGCCATCTTTCTCTATGAATATAAACTTATTTACAATTTAATCCATTTTAATATGTTGTTTTCTTTGCTTACAAGTATTTTTACCACAGTACCATGTCATTGGACATATACAATTACAAAATGATATTCTTTTAATGTTTGTAAAGAGCTCAAAGGGGGGCCTGACCAAAATTTTATCCAAAAACTCAAAATTGCTGAAGTAATACTGTGGACGGAAAGAGAAAACAAAAGAAAAAGAAAGATATAGGTAAGAAATGTCAACCTTCATGAAATTCCTTTAATTTCTTGTAAGAAAAACTCAAATTGGGGAAAATAATGTTTGATAAATTTGTTATTTTATTCTGCTACCACTATAGAAGTCCGTGTTTTTCTTTATACCGCTGCCTGGCTGTTTCCAGCATGATTTGTTTACGTTCCTCTAGAGACAACATACGACTGGGTGCTGCCGTGTGGAATGTAGTGTCCCCATACTTCTGTTGAGATGGCTGAAAAATGACATCACATCGTTTTATAAGGAAGTTACAAAAAAAAACATAATAACAATCAGTTAAGATCTAAAAGGGAAAAAACAAATCACATGTGACACAGTTTTATAAGGAAATAGTACAGTATAATTTGTCCAAACCGGCTATCGCTGGTTCCATAAAATTTGGCCGGTTTAGACAGACTCCGGAGTGCAGGAAAAATGCAGGAAACTATTAATTTTTGAAAATTTTGTTGTTTATTTACAAGACATCATATACATAATATAAAATATAATTGAATGAAATTAATCAATATTTTGGAGTATAGAAATTATAAAATAGTCTCGCATGACTCACTATACATATTTTCTTGGTTGTTCACGAAGTTTGAAAGTGGGGTGAAATGTTACCTAAATCAAAATCTACAGGCACGCATAATATAAGCTTACTATATATCAAGTGGACCGGGTTTCGCTTGTCAAAGAGCTCATTCAATGTATAGACAGTAATGCACAATTATTTACGATGTGCTAATTATTGGATTGAACTTTTAATTTTTATGTAAAAAATTACGATTTCCCCCACAGTGTTATGGCGCCATTTTGAAATGCGTTCGATTTTCGATCCCGATTTATATTTTGATTTTTTAATCGCATACATATAATTTTTGTGTTTATGTTATAATGTGCTAAAAGGAGTTAAAACAAAGTTAATGTTTTTTAAAATTGTAATTTTATCATATAATAGTTTTCAAGTGGGCTGTGTCACCGCCGCATTTCATTGCATCTCATGGCACTAATCATGCTAATGCAAACAGGGATTATCACATCCACCACGAAAGGTGTTAATTGCTTTGAAGTAACTCAGGTGTGGCCGGATTACAGGGAAATAATTACCATTAATTATGAGCAGTTGGGACCAGTATGGCCGTTCGGAATACAGAATAGACAGTATCCGGACTACACAGAATTTTTTCTAATGAATTTGTTAAAGAAGTGCATGGGACTAAAATTTATAGACGGAATGGACAAAAATCCGGAGTACTCAGAGTCCAGATTAGACAAATTTTACTGTATAACCAATAATGAGAATCAGTTTAGATCAACAAAGTCTTCATTTAGTTAATGTAAATTTTCCCTTGTAGAACACCCAACAATGCATACTTAAAATACCTGTTTGTGTTAAAAGGGAAACAATTTGTATCTTTATACCTATTTATACTTACTGCTATGTGTACATTTATTTTCTGTCTTATGTGTAACAAATTGTCTGTAGATTGTGAATTTTTCTGCGGTTCCATGGAAACCTTCCCCTCCAGTATGTTGGTAATTGTTAGATCCACTTCACGAGTTTTCTCTAAAATAAAAAATACAGCATAACATGGAAACAAATACAGTGTATATCTATCTTTATAAATACTGCTTAGAAAATACATTGTAGCACTGCCCCTTCAATGTTCAAATATTCTAAATGTATATTCAATTTATGTAGGCAATCTATACTTTACAAAGACTTCAGCAATTTAGAATGTCAGGTAAAGATAAAGTATCTAATTTTTTACATGAAGAAAAGTGATCTAACCTAGATCTTTCAGTATGACTGCCTCTGCTGTGTCAGGTAACACGTCTCGTACTAGTTGTACCATTCTCTGTAACTCGGGGTCAGAACTTGATCTGTGGGATGCTGCAAGTCTTTGCCTTGTATTGTCTACACATTAATAAGAAATACTTTGTTACTTATTTGCTTCAACTAAAATAATTTTTCAAGGATTCAAAGTACACATGTAGTTTAAATCCTGTAGATGCAATGTTGTCCACAATATTTTCATGTACATTTAATAAGATTTAATATTTAACAATGCTCTAATTTTGGCCTCTTCAGAAAGGGTGCTATTTTTAATTCACATTGATTTTCAAAAGAGATCTTTGCTGGAATTAAACATTTATCCCCAGGGGTATGCTCTTGGACGTTTAGATTGTTTTTTTTATTCTGTGATATCACTGAGAACGGTCTCCCTACTCTGTTGTTCTCGTTTTCTGGCCTCCTCTTCCTCCAATCTTTTGATGAAGTCCTGTTTGTCGGACCATGTGTACTCTGTCAGGGGGATATCCAGGCTCTCTGCCAGGCTTTTCCTCACCCTCTCAGAGAATTCCTCCACACTCTCCCCCTCCCCACACTCCTCCTCTGGTAATAATCTATGTATAGAACACAAACACTACAAAAATAGTACATGGAGACACTCCAAAAAAAAACTTTTTGGGGGGTTTGCAGAAAAATCTTCAATTATTTTTACAATTTTATGGTATAACTCATATTAATGGTATATCCTAATGTATTTATATACAACAGACAGATCTAAATATATAATGCTCATTCAAAACAAGAGGCCCATGGGCCACACCGCTCACCTGAGAAGCTTTGACCATTCTGTTCTTTACCAGATTTCCCCCTTGTAATACATAATGCATCCCTACCCTACCAAACTGAGCATAATTTAGACATTTTGAAATCTACACTATCCAATGATCCTTACATGTGCACATAAGTTTCAGCTTTTCTGGCCCAGTGGTTCTTGAGAAGAAGATTTTCAAAGATTTTTCCCATATATTTTTATGCAAAACTTTGATTCCCAATTGTGGCCCCGCCCTTCCCCCGGGGGTCATGATTTGAACAATTTAGAATCTACACTACCCCAGGATGCTTCCACACAAGTTTCAGCTTTTCTGGCCCAGTGGTTCTTGAGAAGAAGATTTTCAAAGATTTTTCCTATATATATCTATGCAAAACTTTGATTCCACATTGTGGCCCCGCCCTTCCCCCGGGGGTCATGATTTTTACAATTTAGAATCTACACTACCCAAGGATGCTTCCACATAAGTTTCAGCTTTTGTGGCCCAGTGGTTCTTGAGAAGAAGATTTTTCAAAGATTTTTCCTATATATTTCTATGCAAAACTTTGATTCCCAATTGTGGCCCCACCCTTCCCCCGGGGGTCATGATTTGAACAATTTAGAATCTACACTACCCAAGGATGCTTCCATATAAGTTTCAGCTTTTCTGGCCCAGTGGTTCTTGAGAAGAAGATATTCAAAGATTTTTCCTATATATTTCTATGCAAAACTTTGATTCCCAGTTGTGGCCCGCCCTTCCCCCGGGGGTCATCATTTTTAAAATTTAGAATCTACACTACCCCAGGATGCTTCCACATAAGTTTCAGCTTTTCTGGCCCAGTGGTTCTTGAGAAGAAGATTTTCAAAGATTTTTCCTATATATTTCTATGCAAAACTTTGATTCCCAATTGTGGCCCCGCCCTTCCCCCGGGGGTCATGATTTAAACAATTTAGAATCTACACTACCCAAGGATGCTTCCACACAAGTTTCAGCTTTTCTGGCCCAGTGGTTCTTGAGAAGATGATTTTTAAAAATTTGTTCTATATATTTCTATGTTAAACTTTGATTCCCAATTGTGGCCCCGCCCTTCCCCCGGGGGTCATGATTTGAACAATTTAGAATCTACACTATACCATGATGCTTCAACATAAGTTTCAGCTTTTCTGGCCCAGTGGTTCTTGAGAAGAAGATTTTTTAATGACCCCACCCTATTTTTGTCTTTTCTTGATTATCTCCCCTTGTGAGGGGACTTGGCCCTTTATTTTAACAATTTCAATTTCCCTTCACCCAAGGATGCTTTGTACCAAGTTTGGTCAAAATTGGCCCAGTGGTTCTTGAGAAGAAGTCGAAAATGTGAAAAGTTTACAGACGGACAGACAGACGGATGGACGGACAGACGGATGGACGGACGGACAGAAGGACGGACGGACGACGGACAAAATGTGATCAGAAAAGCTCACTTGAGCCTTTGGCTCAGGTGAGCTAAAAAACACTGAATCAAAATATTCTCAGAGAAAAGTGTCTGCTTCATTGAAGTGTTCCTGAATCTGTTCACTTACTTGACTTTGTATATTGTGTATGGCACAAACAGGCTCCAGAGAAAGTCTTGATATATGTTGCTGGTTAGTGTTGTCTGTAAAGAATACAAAGAAAAAAATGGATTTGTTATCTAAAAATAAAGTACACTGACATACTTTACTATACATTTACATGAAAATGCAAAATTGTTAGTCTGACTTTAGAGTCATGGAGTACCACTCTATCATCTTGTTTTAATTGATAAGGTTAGTAATAATTACAAATGGCATCTAACTCACCACGGCCATTGTCATCGGCCACCTTGTAACCTGCAGAGCTACCTAAAATAATGAAAAGCAAACATAAAACTCTAATATATTACTGCCTTTTACATGTTACATGTTTATGCACATATTGGGATATAGAATAATATATACCATTTAGCCATTATTTGTACATCATTGTCACTATACATTATCAAAACAAAGAGAAATAAAAGTACAAGTACATGTACATAATTTAGATGCGATACTATAATGATAAGAAGTTATGCTTAAGCACCAAAAGATTTCTGAATTCTAAAAGATAACTTGAGAAATCTAAATAATATATCAATTAATAACACTTGTAATTATTTTCAACCCATTCCTTGAATTAAACACATGTAGGACATTCTTGTGGAAATCACTTACAGGCTGAACCTTTCCAAGACTAAAGGGGAAAGACCTGAAAAATAAAAATAAATCATTACTAAAACAGCATCCACAGCTAGTTGTTACCTATCACACAAATTTATCAACATATTTATACATTTGTTACTAAAAAATTTAAGAATTAGACAAAGAAACACCTGTTAAGAGAGAGAGAGAAACAACTTACATGAACTTTAGAAGTCCTGTTCCATTAGTTGTGGCCTTTTCTGGGTGAAGCAACACAGGGAACTTGGATTCTAAATATATTGGTACTTTTTTTTAATAAAAACTTTAGACTCGGACAAGTTTATTCAAATAATGAATCCATAAAGAACAGAAGTATGACTTAAGAGTTTATAAAAATTCTGTCACACAAAATCACGTGTTGGCTAAGTTTTCTATACCTCTGACAAACTTTCTGATATTTTCTTCTAATACATCGGCTCCTTTAGAAGAACCAAAGTCTTTGAAACCTGTTAACCACTGCATGAAAGATGACAGGCCCACTATGTCAGGCTGAAAAAAAGAAACAATATGCTCCTTATTAATTTACACACTCAACAACACTTATTGTACATGTATATTAAATGCTTTCATACAAAATACTACATATGAAATGTCATAAAAATCAGATGTAAAGGGGTTGATTATATTAAAATTAGACCAGCTTTGGTGCTATATCAGTTTAATAACAAAATTGGCACACTTATTTCCAAGCTAATCAAGTCATATGTTATCCATATGTTTAAAGTGAGTGCATATAAGATAAAGATGTCCTTTCATAAAAAGCTGGTTTCCTAATTTGTCAACACATCACATGCAATAGAGCGGCTAGCAAAATACTGACCAAGACTCGGAAAAAATACTAGTTGTAAACCTTAACTAAATCAAATATTTTCCTAATATTTAGACAGTATCAATATAGTGTTTGATGTTACAGCTGGTATTTTTGTTCTCAAGACTTGGAACAACTCAGATTGAAAACTATTTATAAATCAACCCTCCAGTTTTTCTCTGTAAGAACACAGGTCTCAATGTGGCAACTATAGAGGGAGCCGCTGACAGCTCAACCTCTACAGGAACCACCGAGACCCGCGACCTACAGAACCCTGAAAAACTGGGTCAATTGAGTAAGGAATCATCACCATAGTTCTCAAGTCAAGCTGTAA